TATATATAGTGTTTACTGAATAAATAGTTTCAAATATACCAATGCTCAGGCCATTTGCATATCGATCTTGCTTTTGAGCTCATCATTATTAGACAGTAGGTGTATACAGCAAGAAAGCTGAATTTTTTTAAGGGTCCAATATTAGCCAAAAAAAAGTACTAACAATTAAAAAATTAACATCCAATTGACTTTTCCAACACTATGGTAGAAAAGGCCTAAATATGGTAATGTAAAAATTTAGTTTCTGCTGTCAAGATCCTTTTCAAAACGAGATACAGCATTTGTAGTCTGCATTTCCCATACTTTATTTTTCTGTCTTTTAAAAAGCAAGGACTTGTCAAACTGTGATTTAAATCAATATAGTTTTGTAAAATGCAGATATAATTGAATCCTGCAGTAATACACAAGCAGCTTGCTGATTTGCCATTTTTGATTATCCTATTCATTCATCAGAATGATCTCTTTGTTCTTCATTTACCCCAAGAAATAGTTACTTTTCCTTCCCTTTATCTCAATCCTCTTGTCTATGCTCCTTAAAAGGAGGAGACTGGACAGTGACAGAAGATAAGTACCTATCCTACCATAATGAAAATTGCAGCACGTACAGGTGAAGAGGATCCATGTGTGTTAGAGAAGAACTGTGGAGGTTATGAGGATGCAGAAAGGAAGGATACTACAAGTCAGCTGTACGGAGAGTCGCTGCCGGTGTGCCTATTTTGACTACTTGAATTTTCAGACTGTAATTGGCAGCACAATGTGAAGAATGGAGTTGAAATCATTTATCTTAGTCTCACTGTGTTTCAAATTCAGTTGCAATTTGGTAGTTCTTTTCAATTTTTTTTTTTTTAATCTCTTTGATTGGGGGTGAAGACTGTTTCCAACGACTGCTGTAAAATGCTCTGTATTGTTTATAGTAACTGCAGAATATTCAGACCATTGTGTTTTACTTCAAAGCATAAATATACTAAAACTTAATGGTGCGTTTCATATCTTACAAAAACTCAAAACAATGGCATTACACAAGCTTTAACTCTGGATGCATTTATAGTTTCTGGTTTGTGGTTATTTTTAGATGAACTATAGCTTGCTTTTAGTAGTAGAACAAATTTTATTTTTAAGAACATTTTCTTTGAACTGTCTTTAAAAGAGAAAATGGTCATCCACTAGATTTTGTTCCAGAATGCTACTGGAAGCTGTTTAGGGCACATTAACTTGCTGTCACTGTTGAAAGTTATCTAATTTGCAGCAGGCTTTTTTAGCATGTGTTTAAAGGAAAAAAGAGTGGAAAGAGGGAGCAACTTTTATAACTCTGACCTAAAGCTGGCATCTCAGTGCTGACTTCAGCTCAAACAAGTTATGTGTACAGAGACAAGCTAAAAATTGGAGGGCTTTGCTTAAACATCATAGTAGCATGAGTTACGAGTGGCACACTGTTAAGCTTATCTTCAAAGCTTAAAGATCAGTTGGATGCATCTTAAAACATGCAGTCTTGTAAGGAGGAGATAAATACAGAAGTATCTGTGTAATTTTAGTGTTTGAAGCTTTCCAAGCCTGAAACATTATCATGTTTTCAGGCCAACTGAGGTTTATATCATTCTTGTAAAGAAATTAGGTGTGGCATTAAAAGCCTCTGTGCTTGGGACTGTTAAGGCAAAACTCAAGAATTTCTTCTGATGAAGAAACCAAAAGGAATTCCACGGCTGAAAAACTGAAATATTCTTATGAGCATAATCGAGGCTCCTGAATGTACACATCAGCATAAATCAGCTTAAATCTTTATTAGTCTTCGTTGCATCTGATTTAAACATTTTGAAATGCTTGCTATTTTCGATTAGTCTGCTGTAGCCTCATTTTTGTTGTTAAGAAAAGCCCTTTGACAAAGGGCAAGGAGTACTGACGGTACAGGCTCACTTGGGAAGACACTGGTAGGTATTGGCAGAACAAGTAACTTTGAGTAAACCCTCGTTTACTGGTTTCTCTGGGACCTGATACCCTAATAAAAGCACTGGGAAGTTTTTCATGTTTGAAAATGAGAGCCGCAAAACTGCACTGTATCAAACTGTTGGTATGAATGTATATACCTATCTTCTCGCTATTCAAACATTTATTATGCAGTTCCATGGAATTTTGCCAAGGTTTTGTATTTTGAGCAGCCTAAATTTGTTAAGCACCTTCAATCCTTTTGTGAAAAGAGCATTGCTAGTATACAGAAAAAATACTTGTTTCCAGCAGGTCTTGGAATAATGAACCTGAACAAAAAAATGCATTCAGTCAGTTGGCCCATCATTTTTACAGTTTGGAAACAGCTACACGATGCTACAGAAATAAAATTATCCTAGAATGCAGAGATCAGTGAAGTGACACACTAATTAGAAATTTATGCTGTATTCTTCTTCATTAGTTGCTTAGTTATAAGAATGGAGTAATCAATCACATTGTCCTTGTGAATTGAATAAAGTAACAAATGAATAATAATTGCAGTAGCCAGTCTGTCAGACGCCACACGAGGAGCTGGTGGTGATCGAGCTGCGTACCCTTTTGTGTAGCTGCTGACAGACTTGGGGGGCCATCCCTTTCGTCACATGATCTCATGGACTGTTTGTCTCTTTACTGTAAATATAGCTTGCTTCAACTTCAAATTGTAGCCTGATAGACAAGAAAGTAAAATTCTTGAGGACATGAGTAGAATTTTATCCCCATTGAAGACATGGCTGTGAGAGTGTGTTATTTCAGCTGCTTTGTGGCACGGAGTAAATTGTGAATCAAAAGGCTTGGTGTAGCTGCAGCCTGCCTTTGGAGAGGGAAGACCCCTGGACACCCTTGGTTTTGGGATCCTTCCATGTTAACATACCTGCCTTGTTTATTTGCTGTTGTTATAGCTTTGCCATTTTAATATTGTGAAGTGTAGAGAAGAGACTGAGATTTGTATAAGAACTGAGTTTGTTTATGCTGTTCTCACCAGTCATAGACAAGTATGTACCTACTGACACTTTCTGTCAAATTATTTCTGCTCATGCTATTTTTCTCTTGATGGCTTTAGTTATAAAAATATATTCTCTGAGTAAGTTTTAAAAAACTTTTGCAGGTTGTTTCAATTACTCTTCTTAAGTAAATAGATCCCTTAGACCATACAGATAATTTGACTTTCTTTACAGATACAGTTAAAAAACTTCAGGATCAAAAGCATGACATGGAAAGAGAGATAAAGAATCTTCACAGGAGACTCCGGGTAGGTTAAAACCTAGAAACTCAATAAATTGTAAACTTGGAATGTCATAAGATATGCATGTGAAATTGTGAAAAGGTAATATGATAAGATATAATACCATTAAAATAATTATTTGAGAGACATGCATCATACGGAAATATATTTGCTAACATACAGACACTAAAGAATTAACTTCTGAAAAATTGTGTCACTAACATATGGTGTTGAGCTTCGGAGAAAATGTTCCTGTGTCTTCTGATGCATAGTGTAATACTATTATTTTTTTCCCTCCACTTTGAACATTATTTTTGTTTCTAGGAAAGAAATTCATGACTTTGAAAATCTAGTTATTTGCAGCAAATCTTCTTCTTCAATTTAACTTGTAAGTTAGGTTATGCCTAATGCCAGAGACGAGGGCTTTTGTCCTTCCTGTAAATAGTCTCCTGTAGCAGCATAGGGAAACTATGACTAATAAGAACAACTTTTTATTTTTAACTTCAAAATTCTTGCTGCTGCTGTAAATTTAAAGTTTTATTTACTTACAGGAGGAGTCAGCAGAATGGCGTCAGTTCCAAGCTGATCTACAGACTGCAGTGGTTATAGCCAATGATATAAAGTCTGAGGCCCAGGAAGAGATAGGAGACCTGAAGCGTAGATTACACGAAGCTCAGGAGAAAAATGAGAAGCTCACCAAAGAGTTGGAGGAAATAAAGTCACGCAAGTATGCAAAAGACAGCAGGGATATTGTCTCTTTTGTAAGGGGGTACAATTTTGGAAATCCAGTATCTTGGCTGTTATTGAGGCTCTGGAAGTTCATAAATCCTCTCACTGTGAGGATCTGTGTTTCAACAAGCTGCTTGATGGAGTTGAAGTAGGTAAACTTATAAGAACAAGATTTGTTTCTTTATACTGTGTACTTAATCCATTCAAGAATATTCAGTTTGGCGCTTTTGCAAAACCAGATTGAAGTAGAGGATTTTTTCCTATTTAAAAGCCGGACATTATTTAGCTTCCCTCAGTGTGACAAACAAGCAATGTTGGCTTTTCTGTACCATCATTAACACTTCTTATTAGCAGCCAAGGCTTTCGGTATGGTTGAAAATACAGCTGGATTTTTACCCAAGAAGAAGCCTTCCTCTAATTCTGCATATATCTCATACTGTTTTCTTTCCACTGATAATTGTTTCTGGAAATAGAGATGTTTGCGTACATTTTTAATAAAAAACAATTCAATTGTGAGGTGTTGTGGCTTGAATTAGGTGCTATGGTTATTTAGAAATTGTTGTATGTATTTCAGAAGTATTAAAAGTCCTCAAATCCATAGAATTGGAATATCTTCAACAGCGCCATTTGAATCCTGACTACATTGTCTCTAGGGATTGAATACATGTGTAGTTTACAGTTACAGTAGTGATGTCCGTGATGTGTATATATTAAACAATTTTTTTCCACATGGATGGGCATTTTGTAGGATAGATGACACTTAACCCAGCACCCAGTAGGATATGAGATAATGCAGGCTATGGTACTTGAGGAAAAGCTGATGGTAGGAAGAACAAACTGGTTACACTGAAAATGGAAAAATATCTGGATGAATGAGTGGTGGGTGAAGGCATCTTATCTGAAGTAAGATCACCAAAATAAGTAATATGAACAATTCTTACTAATATATTTCAGCCAGAATTGTAATTGCTCAATTACCACTGGCAAGTGAACCTTAGAGGTTACAGTTGCACTTTTGCGGTAGCATTGGCTTGCTGCTTCCAGCCACTGTATTCGTTATTATCTATATGCAAGCATCGTCTTTTGACATTTGATTTATTGCAAACAAAGAACAAAGAGGCAGCTGAATCGGATTTCTTGGAAGTGGTACAGCTACTGTATTGGAGGGAAGGTGGTAGGAAAGTATTACAGTGTCTGAGGCAAAAATCAGTCTGTGTTTAATTATTGCAGACTGTAGAAAATAGGTTGCTTTAAGCAATTCTTGTCTTGTGACACTGAATGCAATATACACCATAAATTTTCTGTATTGAAAAACTAAATTTTTTTCAAAACTGATTCATGTGCTGCCTAAAGGTGTACACCAGAAATATATTCTTACCTCCTTAATATTAATTTAAATTGTTTTCTGTTTATGCAAGTGGCAAAAAAATTCTCCCCTCTGAGCTGATTATTTTCATGTGAAATGGTGAAATACTTAAGGCTCAATTTTTTCCATCCATATGTATGTGTGTGCGTTTGAGAGATAGAGCAGAAATTAAGCCTTAAATCAAGTATTGATTTGATAGAATTTTTGCCTGGTGCTTAAGTTCTGACAAATAGTAAGAATTTACAGTGATAATGTAGGTTGATAATCTATTTCTAAATTACAGTGGAAAAAAACTAGGTTAATGTAATGATTGATTTGGACCATAGATTCTAATTTGGCTTCAAATTTGTGTTGATTTTTTTTTTAAGACTTTGCATGTTAAAGTGGTTTTTAAATGCCTCAAATGGGCTGCATATTGATTTCAGGCAAGAAGAGGAACGTGGTCGAGTGTACAATTACATGAATGCTGTAGAGAGAGATTTGGCAGCTCTGAGACAAGGAATGGGCCTGAGTCGCAGATCATCCACCTCCTCAGAGCCAACTCCTACTGTAAAAACACTCATCAAGTCATTTGACAGTGCCTCCCAAGGTAATTAATTTCAGCCAGTATAGTAGCTGTACCCAGGTATGATTTTGCGTATGTTCACGTGGATGCTCCTAGTGACTTAGCTAATTCAAAGGTGAGTTGTTTTATTGCACTGTCATCTATAAGTGACGGCTGAAACAAACCAACTGAAACCAGATGGCACAACAGATCCTTCACTGTGATTAAGTGCAAGCATCCTTTTTTTTGTCTTTATTTTTTTCTTCACGGTCTCATTGCCAATGACTCATATGCTAGATGCTTTGGTTCAGTGCTCCCGTATATTAGAAATACATAAACACATATTACGCACATAATTGTAGCTGGAAGCACAGCTGATTTCAGCCTGACTATGAAAATGTGAATTTAATGTGCCAAATTAAGCATTTAAAAGCCATATAATAGCTAGAGCTGAGTTTGTTTCTTTTAGTAACTTGCATTCTTACAGTCAAAGTGCTGATGAAAATTAAAAATGAAGTCCAGCTTGTATCACCTATTAAAAGATACAGGCAATATTTTCTGAAATGAAAAGGGTCTCACTGTTGCAACAATGGATTTTGCTATAATTCTCTGATTGTGGAAACGGGTGCACTTGTTCTTCTTTACAGATGAGCAGAATAAGGAATCCAAGTAATTATCCTGAGATGAGAAACACTTGAGTTTTAGCTTTGACTGCATATGAGACTTTGTATGGATTAAAAACATTTTCCTCGCTAGGCCTTTTGCCTTGAATTTCATTTACAATAATGTCACTATAAGTCTCTGATGTAAAAAGGCTTGGTATATTACAGAGAGACTTAAAGTCCTGTACTATGCATGGTAAATTATTTTTAATTGCTTATTACCTGAAAATTTGTTGAGGTGTAGAAGCATCTCTGCATTATTTTGTGACTCTGTAAATGGTTCTGTTTCCACATTTGTTCTCTTTGTTCATAGGTATTTACAAATTTTTACTTTCCTAGTGTTAATTTTGAAGGTGTTTTTCAATCTGTTATCGGATAAAGGTGCTTTCTTGCCAGAGTGACTTTGGTTCGTTCCACGGGGTGCATTCCTTCAGGAACAGCCTGCTCCAGCATGGGTCCCCCATGGGGTCACAAGTCCTGCCGGCAAACCTGTTCCAGTGTGGGCTCCCCTTTTCATGGGTTCACAGGTCTTGCCAGGAGCCTGCTGCAGCACGGGCATCCCACGGGGTCGCAGTCTCCTTCAGACATCCACCTGCTCCAGTGTGAGGCCCTCCAGGGGCTGCAGGTGGATTTCTGCTCCACCGTTACCCTCCATGGGGTGCAAGAGGACAGCCTGCCTCACCATGGTCTTCACCATGGGCTGCAGGGGAATCTCTGCTCCAGTGCCTGAAGTACCTCCTCTCCCTCCTTTTTCACTTACATTGGTGTCTGCAGAGTTGTTCCTCTCACATATTCCCACTCCTCTCTCCAGCTGCGGTTGCCATTACGCAGATTTTTTCCCCCTTCTTAAATATGTTATCCCAGAGGCGCTACCACCATCGCCGATGGGCTCAGCCTTGGCCAGCGGCAGGGCTGTCTTGGAGCCGGCTGGCGTTGGCTCTGCTGGGCATAGGGGAAGCTTCTGGCAGCGTCTTACAGAATCCAGCCCTTTACCCCCTTGCTACCAAAACCTTGCCATGCAAACCCAATTCCATGATAAATCATTTTTCCCTTCTTTTTATTTTTTATTTCAAGTTTCTATCTTCCTTCTTCCTCAGCATTTGTGTCTAATCATGCTGTTAAATAATCAGATGACTGATGCACCAACTCAGTATTTGTCTGTTTTCATACATCTCCAAACATGTTATTTGTTTAATCCCAAAATTTCAGGGACTGTCATGCCATATGTGGTACCTGTGGACTTTGATTGGAAATGAGAAAGGAGAAGGAGGTGATATGTTATCTATCTTGTCTTACTGACAGACCCAGGATCCTGCTACCATCTCTTTAATTATCTGGAGACCTAATAATGTCATCATTTACATCTGCCAGGATTATAGTATCCTGCACCTTAGCCTTGTCCGCCCTCAGTAAACTTATGCTTTTACCATGGATGATATATTCAAGATAGAAAATGAATGTAATTACAGAGGAATAAATGTGTAGGCATACTTTTAAATGATTTTGCAGTCAGTTACTAATTGAAATTCTGAAAGATGTGATCTGGTAAAACTAGTAATATAAAGTACAAGGTGAGAGTTCTCTATAACAGCCAGTCTCCTGTTTCACTGCAAAACAGTGCAATGCTCACGATGTTTTCTGTGTTTCTACTAGTTCCAAGCCCTGCTGCTGCCACAATTCCTCGCACTCCCCTGAGCCCAAGTCCCATGAAAACTCCCCCAGCTGCTGCTGTATCCCCTATGCAGGTAGGTGTTTTATGACTGCACTTAATCCTTCTTTGTAAAGAAGAGCATGTGAAATTACAGGTGGTAACATTAAAAAATTGGCTGTCTTTGTGGGGACACGATGATAAAATGTTGTATCCGGTAAGTAATTACTAAAATGTTGAGTCTAACAAAAGAGTCTTTCACTGAGAGCTATGTTGTAAATCGAAGAAATGGCATAGTTTGGAAGTTCTTGTTAAATATTCCCAACTCTTAGTGTTCCTGTGCTACTGAGAAGTATGGGAGGAAAACCTTATCTGCATTCCTTAGAGTTGCTGTTTGTCAGTTCTTCATCCTGTGCCTCGCATGGAAACAGCAGTAATCCCCTTCAGGCAATGGACTGAGATCTGTGCAGAATCTGTCAGCAATCATCAATATAAATGTATCCCATGTTGTGTGGGCTTTTGATTGCAGACCCGACCAGAGAGGAATGAAATCATTGTGAATTGATTATCTTTGTTCATTTTGTACTGACTGAGAGTTTGGCCAGTTGGTGATTGTACTGTGTATTTTGACCTGTCCCCTCTGAAGCTTTGTCCGTTTGTTCAGCTACTACAGGAGCTTAGGCAGACCAGGACTGCATCATCGGTACTCTAATGCTCAGCTTTAATCGGTCACTGCTGAGGTGAGATTTTGTCAAAGGCCAACAAGTTTAAGAATAAAGCAGATGAGACTGGATTCGCAAAGAAAAATCAAAGAATATACTATATGTTTTACTCCTCTAACATCAGTAATTCTCCTGTTGCCTTCTCCTGTTGCCTTCTCCTGTTTCTTCTCTGAAAGGGTTGTCAGCCACTGGAATAGGCTGCCCAGGGAGGTGGTTGAGTCCCCATCCCTGGATGTGTTTAAGAATAGGGTGGATGAGCTACTTGAGGATATGGTTTAATGGGGATTAGGGATGGTTGGACTCGATGATCTCTAAGGTCTTTTCCAACCTAGAAATCTATGAATCTATGAAGGTATTACTAACCAGAAGTACCAAAACTTGATTTTTGCTATAGGTCAGCATAATGTTTTGGTAATAAATCCTCGGTGTGAACCGAAGAATCTACATCCATATGTTGGCTCAAGGAATAATACCTGGAACAGATTGACTGTTCTCCTGTGCTCAGACTAGTGCAGCTTTTATTCACTTGAGAGTGAATTTCATAAAACAGATAGCCTCAGAGCAAAGAGAAAGATTAAATGTTTTTGTGAGAGCTTCAGCTATTTCCTGTGGCTCAGTCACTCTTGACAGCAGTTTTCTAAAGCAGTTAAATGCAACAAGTTCTCCTACAGATGCTTTGTTCCTATTAATCTGTCTTTATATTCTGTGCCCTTGTAGGAAGAGGCATGCTTAATCTCATGTTCTAAAAGGCTAGACCAGAGCTTTGGCTGACAGAAGACCTTTTGAATGAAGCCTAAGGCTTATTTCACTTTATTTACCTGTAAATTAACCACAAACCAAAGTAATATCTTAAAATACTGCAAACCTGCTCAGGTTTACAGCTCTTGTGTTGACATTCTCCATCTGCCACAATTATTTCAATTTTGAATTCTACTTCTGGTATAGAACCAAGTCATTAACAGCTGGATACTCATTAGTGGGAAACATTACCTGAAAAACAAAGAGGAGGGTGTGTAAATGAAAATTACTTCTGTTGTCTTTTTGGAGATAGGTGGTTTTCCTGGAAGAATTTGTAGTTATGTGGAAGGCAATGGGGGTTTGTGACCTCAGTTATGTATACATTTAAAGAACATTGCTCAAGACAGAAGGGGTTTGGGTTCAAAACCAATTTTCATCATCTTTTCCTCTTCTTTATTTTCATATTACTACCTTGTGTTCTACTGTTGTGTTCTGTGCAATTTTGGTATATTTTTTGTCTGTGGTTTTTGCTTTCTTGCAGTTGAAAAGCAAGATTTTAATAAGTAGTTGCTAAGTAGTCAATATGTTGACCTATTGGCTCCCGCCTTATAGAAGTCATTCATGGTTTAAGATCTTGAGTAAAGGTGGAAAGATTGATCTCAGTATGGGTGTTGCAGTGCTTATTATCATTAATCTCAGTTGCTTTTAAATGCTATCAAAGGTGAAATATTTACATGGGCATCTACTGAGAAGCTGGCGTGATTTTGATATTATGGTTGCAAGAAAGATTCTCCAAGTACAGTTGCATCAACATGTGCCCTCTCTGAATTATGCGTGTCAGTTCATTTTTGTACTGGACTGTGTCATGAATTTGTTCAGTCTTGGAGAGTTTTTGTTTGCTTTGTTTTTCTTTACAGCAATGTATGTGTGTATAAGGAGATACATTCTTGTATACGTTTTTGCACTGAAAACAAGCAAACAAAAGCCTTTCTGGCTTCAGGTCCAAGCCGCAGTGGAACATAGCTGTTATTTACCATAGTGCTTAGCAAGACTGCAAACAATTTAGGAAGAGAGTTATGAAGAGAATGCTCTTCAAAACGTAAAAACAACCCTGCTGAGTTAGCCTAAAGCTCAGCTGGCCTGGTATGCCACTGAGAGTGACCAAAACAGATGCCTAGGGAGGAATATAAGGACAGGAAGCCTATCCGCTGCTTTCCCTGAGTACTTTCTTTTTCTGTTTCAGAGCTGGAGGGCTCCCTGAATTAGACATGGTTTCAGATTCACTGATCACCACTGAATGTCCTGGTTTGCTTTGAGCATATAAACTTTGAGGCTTCAAACAATCCGGTGTCAAAGACTTCCATATCTTAACTACTTAATATGTGAGCAACTGTGTGTGTTTTGAAATTGCCATGTGTAAGTGTGTTGATATCAAGTACTTCAATTGAAGTACGTACTGAAGTGCAAAGTCATCAGGAATAGGTACTTGGAAGTGGTTGAAGGTCATGTTTCCTTCCATGGCTAACAACAGATGCAAGGATGAAGAGTCAGGAGCCAAATGTTTTGAGTTTAAGGGACTACTTCATCCTGCTATAGTATACCCTGCTCTAGTTCTGCCTCAAATTTGAAGTGTTGAGTGTTTGTCCTCTTTTACTTTTTTTTGTCCTACCTGTGTGCTGGTTCCTCTTCTGGAGTCATCTTACGAAAAAAAAAAGAAAAAGAAAAAAAAAAAGAAAAAGAAAAAACATCTGAAGAGTCTTAGGTAGCTAGCAGAAACTATCTTCAAATTAAGGTGGAAAAGTAACTGTTGATCTTAGCATCTTTATCTGTTACTGTAATTATGTTATCCAGAGACAACTACGTAAAAACGTGTTATTTTACTTAGACTAATTTTCTTTATGAACCCCATCAAAAGTAGTCCTTAAAGTTTCAGCATTTTCTTCTGCTAGACCTCAGTATAGGATGAATAAGAAGAGGATCACAGATTGTAAAGCATCTTTAGTAATTTCTATCCCATTAGTAGCCTTCATTAATAGCCTCAAGCATGTGATTCCTCTGAATTTTTGATCCTTTCGTTTAGTGTTGAGGAGTTTGAACACTGGTGTAAATGACAAATGGTGTTTAGCAGTTAAGTGAGTTTTGGGATGTATTTGTACTTGAAGAAAAAAAGATATTATAAAGGGAGTGGTGGGATCCATACATATTTGATTGCACATCAGATGTGTTTTGTAAGTGAAATGAGGAATGGCTGACCTGCAAATTCAGCAAAAGCTCAGTCAAGCAGAAAAGTTTCTTAACACTTGTAAAATATTTTAGGAAAAATTGTTCTCCAAGAAACTTGTGTGCTAGTACTGTATAGATAATGCCAAGTGGAACTAGCTGAACATTGGTTCATTTTCCTCTAATTTGCTGTGTATTAGTCACTGCGTTATTACTGGTAGTTGTAATAATAAGATACGTAATAAGGAACTAGCATCAGTGCAAGTAAGCCCTGACTGCAGTGTCAACAGGAGCAAAAAGACAAACAGTTCATTTTATAACAAGGAGACAAGACCAGTACACAGCAAGTTATCAGCTGAGTAATAAGATCCGTTTCTGACAATATCCATGAAGGATGTTTGGTTTGAAGTGATATCCGGAAGCTGAGAAAGTGATAAAGGTATATGATTATCCAGCACTCTGCCTGCTCTGTACATACCTTTGTTTCCTGGCTGAAGTTCTGTGCTACGCTGTCTCTGTAATGACAAACCCAAAGCTAGACAAAATGACATGTTTTTCTTTAACATCATTATCTAACTCTATAATAGTGGTTTCCTTTTGCAGGAGGGAGGCTCTCACTTTGAGAATGTCCTTGTCCTTTATTTAAAAAAAAAAAAAAAATCCTAAGTGGGTGAAGTTACATCTCAGCTTCAAACTTCCACGTTTGAAATACCAGTTCTTACGGGAGGCTGTTGTAGGTGCTTCTGTGCACGGCTCACAATTGCAATCACTTTCATCTGCACATCTAAAGGAATAATCTTTGTAGGATATGTGTGGGACTTCTGATATATAAAGTCACGAAATTCTTTATGCTATATATATTTTGAAGTTAGATTGTTGCATGGTTGGCAGTTGTTTTCTCCATTTGATTTCCAGCACAAAAGTGTAACTCTGGTTGGACTCTAAATGACGAATAAGTAGGAGGATGCTGCAAAGTGTATACTGTTAACTTGTTTTAATCACAATTTTAAGTTTGTCTGTCTTGCCTACATGATTTGGCATGAGAAACATCTGACCTTTATCATTGTATGAAGATAAGGCTCATTTAACCTTCCCATCTAATCTTGGGCCAGATGGAGAGCTGAAAGAGTTTTCGGGATAAACACATTACTGGACCAATTGTGATTAAATGTAGGAATCTAATAGAAAGGACAGAGTGATTAAAGAATGTACTATTATTTGCAATAGGCTCTTTGAAATGATTAATTAAAAAAAATATAATTGTGGATGGTCTTCTCTGAGTCTTCAGCAACTGAACGTGAATTTCAGTAAGTGTAAGGCTAATTATTGTATTGTGCAGGTCATTTGTGGAATACTGAAATGCATATTTCAGTGCTGTCCAGGGTTAATTACTGTGTGTAACACTGAACACATCTGTGATTGTGTACTTACACTGCTGCTATAAGCCATGCATTGCTTAATATTTTACCTAAAACTTGAAAAAAATCATTTCGTAGCTACTTTAGAGCAGAGCAGAAATTAAAGTGACCTTAGAAAGAAAAATAATTATATTTGTATTTTGTTACGTATTTGACAAATACTTAAAGAGTCTCTCTTCAGTTGTTCACAGAGCATCTCAGTTAAATACATGGTAACAAAAGCTGTTGATGTTTTGGATGAAAAATCGTTTTTTCAGTAGAACTTTTCTTAGCAAAGGGTAGTTCGTGTCACTATGCCCAGTGCACCATTATGGTGATTTTCCAGGAAAAGCCACAAAGCTGTAAAGGCATACGTTAATAACACAAATCAGGCACTAAAATCTTGGCTACATGTAGGAGATTATATTAGTTTAAATAAACACATCAAGTTTAACCAGGAGAGGTGTGTGCAAACAAAATATAAATGAGGGTGAAAATTAATAAACTACAAGAGAATCTACAACCTTTTAATTTTGCAATATTGGTTCGAGGAACAGGTTTAAGTTCAAAGCAGTAAATGTTACAGTACCAATGCACAGTGGGTGTATATACATTCAGATTGACAAAAGCAAGAGATAAAGAGGATACAGCCTTTTTCACTAAATATTTTTAAATGTTCTTTTATTTTTTTAGTTATTTTAAATCAGTAATAATGTCATACCCAAGTTTCTAAAACTGATTCTGCAATTCCATGTTTGTTTTGTACCTTCAGATTAAGATTGACAGAATTATTTTTCCATTTCAGAGGCATTCTATAAGTGGACCAATCTCAGCTTCAAAACCCCTTGCTACGCTGACAGACAAAAGACCGAGCTATGCTGAAATCCCTGTTCAAGGTATTGATTCAAGTTCATTTAAACTTTGTTTTTAGCGATGCTATTGGTACTTATTTTTTGTGTATTTTATATCATTTAGTATTCAAAGTGTTATCACATTAAATACTTTCTATTACCATAATATTTTCATAGAATCATATAACGTTTTGAGTTCAAGTCTTTATTACTTGTGTTTCATCACACATGGTGTCATATAAAGATACTTTTTTGAATTTTCAACAAAACTATGATTGCATTGTGATAATTCGGCATTATCCTGACAGTTTTTAGTGTGTGCATAAACTGAGATCACTTGAAAAATCAAGACAGGATGATTTCAGGGACATGTCTTGCAGCTGTCTTCCAGATATGAAAAAGACACACCCCTGGGGTTACATTATGTATTGTGTGGTTGGGTTGTGGTTCGCCCCCCCAAATGAAACAAGGATGATGGTTGGCATTGCATTGCATGTGAATAACAAAATATGAACTTACTAAGTGTTGAATCTTCAGGAGCCAGTTGAAAAATTGAATGGCATTAAATTGAGTGTTGATTTATCTGTTTCCCAGTATTTCCCTGTTCTGTGAACTTTGTTTCGTCTCTCAAAACACGGTTCACAATGTGCTCTTCCTGTGAGAATGAATGGCTATCATGTGGTGGGTGTAGGGCTCTGATTTATGCCTGCTTTAGAGTTGGGTTTTTTTGTAGATGTTTCTCTAGATAATCCCCGTATGACTCCAGGCTGAATATTTCCTCTCAATTTGGTATTCCTGAGGTCTGATGCTTTCTAAACAGTTGGGTGTTTTTTTTTTTTTGTAGCACTTCATAATAGTCTGTATGTGCCAGATTTCCTTCTTGCTTTTGTTGAATGCATGTTGAGGTTATTTGTACAGTGCAGCTGGGGGTTTAATTTTAGAAACTTTGATATTTTTAGGAATATTGAAATGCCTTTCCAAGAAGATAGTTTAGAATTCTTTGTTACAGAGTTCATGGGTAGTCATAAGCTTAAACACAAAATGGGTGGTATGCTTTATGTAGTTTTTGTGTTTTCATTATAGTCAGTTAATGCAGGAGCAGGACTGCATTCAAATAGAGAATATGCCAGACACAATTCCTGTTTACAACCACATATATTTTAAAGTATCTCTGTAGCAATGTTTTTCTTATGCCACGTTTTCAACTAATGAACAGAGTCTCACTTTTTTAATCTTTATTCTTCATTTTCATGGGTTTGTGTATTCACATTACTGCCTCCTAAGTGTTTCTATATAGGAGTATGTAAACCTTTTGTTTACAGTCTAAAGGTTTTATTTGAAGGACTCTTTCTTCAATAATAGGAAATTGTTTTGATTTGACACTACAGAAAATTAATTTTGTTGTAATTTGATTTTACTCATTGGCAGTAGGCAGAACTA